CATTTTGCCCCAGTGCTGTTCAGGACCTGCCCAAAGTGGGTTCCCAGGGCTGGTGGAGGACAGGAGCGGTTGTGTCCCTGCACTGTAGCTGTGTGCCACGACCACCAGCCTGGTCCTGCCTCCCAGCGCTTGGGCAAAGAAAGGGACTCTGACAAGCTTTCCCCATCCACCTCAGCCCCACCTGTCTGTTAAGCATGGTTTTTATGAGCTTATCCCATTTCGGTACTAGTTCAGAGCTCTCCTTCCCAGTCTGTACCACTCCCATTATTCACTCCTTCACAAAAATCTGCTCGTCTCGAGCTGTAGGAGGTTCTTCTACGAAAATTAAACTATACACCTGAGCGTGATTCAGTCACTAGACATGGAATTGATATAATCTCAAGTTTGAAGTGACTTTGTATCATGTAACTTTGCTGTCCTAAACTAGCTCTCCTAGTCCTGTTAATTTCAATCTAAATGTCCTCCTCAGTACTCCACCAGTATCATCTCTGCCTCCATCACACCAGTTTAGTGGCTATTTGTGCAGATTGAGAGCTTTTACAGAAGATTTTTAAGATTTTCTTATTATAGTCTGACTTCAGATCATCTGCAGAATGTCTTCAGATATTAAACCCGTTTTCTGTCTGACTCAGACAAAAACTAATTTTAAGTGTCAGTTCATCAGGGACGTATTTTATTATTTAATTACATCCCTCCTTCCCTATGTATCTGTATTTCCACCCAATTGGTTGTTTAGAAATATGTTTTTATTCAATTGAAACTTATGCTTTTGGTCATGTCCAAGAGTTACTGGCAAATACAATTTATTACATCTTAACACAAACCCACTTCTTTAATAGTTGTCCCTCCTTTGTAGAGGTCTACACTGGAAAAAGGTTTTTGAAGTGTTCATTGATGCTGCGTGATCATTACTGTTTAACCAATTAAGCTAGAAATACACAGCTATTTCACTAGCCATACTCCCAGAACACAATTCAGCATCACCATTTATCCAGTGGTAATGCTTTGTTAAGTTCCCTCATTTCCAGCAGCTCCCACTCCCACCCTCACAGTTTACTTGGAGGGCTGTGCTATAAACCAAGTCAGAAATGTTTCATGTCAAACCCAAAATCTCACAACATACTGCTTATTTATTACATGTTTAAATCCAAACCACTGGTACAGGTCACCCGTGCCAGAAAGCTTCCCTGACACAAGTATGATGTTAGCAGAGGGTAGCATAGGACTGAAATGTTATAAATGAGCACTGGAAGATGTAGCTATAATTTTAATTATTTCTTCCTTGTGTCTTCCTTCTTGCATTATTTTCTTGTTTCCATTTTGGTGTAAATACTTCAAAACCAAGAAAGAAAAAGTTGTCATCCTCTCCACACCCCCACACCCCCCCCCAACATTCCACATGAAGCAAGTACCAAGCTGAGCAGATACAGCAATGCAGACACTGCTGAAAAAGTATCCAACTTTGAGCTTCTACTAGAAATAGTTAGAGATCCTGGATAATACCTCTAAGTTCCAAAGACAACTCTGCCTTCTAGTCCTGAGAGCATCATGCATTTTCTTTTTCAATATTGTGCCAAAGGTCTCTAGGTCAAGTTTATTTAAATATACACTGTGCTAAATAATATTTTCCCAGATAAATGTATGAATTTATAAAAAATAATTTTAAATAAAGAATTACAACTGATAAAATGGTCCTTTACCAGTTTCATTTCAGGTCGCGTACAAACACTGGGAGTGTGTGTTTAAAACAACAAAGAAAAAAGGAGCACAGTATTTTTTCCTTCCTCCAAAGTTTATTCTGAGATGGTGGGCTAGGTTCTGATTCCATTTATTCTACTCTAAATCAAGATTTCACAGACTTGTCTACAAGTTCATGAGCAGGTGATTAAGGTGTAAATTCTGAGTATTTTATCTTTTCTGCATCAGCTCCCCATGGTCATTCCTACAAAGCAGCATAGCGTGCTTTTGTGTCAGCTCACTGTCAAAGTTGAGCAAAACACAGTGTTTGGCATGCGTTAAGAGCTCCCACAAAGGGAGTTGCAACCTGCTGCAGTGTAACACGTTGCAAATTCATCCCCTGGCTGACTTAGGTAGAGGCCAGCCCTGCTGCTGTGCATCTCTGCCATAAAACACCACTTCTGAACCCAGCACTTGCCAGATGCAAATCCCAGCCGAGTCTCATTTAGGAACCTCCCCTCTAGCCCAGATTACTCTAGACACAGTGTAAAAAAACCCCAACAAAACAAAACAAAAATCCCCATGGATATTACAATAGCTTAAAGTAAGGTCTGTGAACCTAAAGCCTGCAGGCTGCTTATAGCCACAGCTTCATTTCACATGGACAACAAAAGACCTTCCCTTCTTCATACTGGCATGTGCTAGCATACTGGCTGAGAAAGATGCTGAAGTGGCCAATATCACTGACAGCAGCTATGAAGACTTCACACCTATGTTACAAAATTAATGTGGCCCACAGTAATGCTGAAGGGGAAATATTATCATAGCAAGGTCCCCACAGCAACAATACTCTGCAAATCACAGAGACTGAGTCTACTGTGGAAGCCCAACAAAATCTACCAACAAGCATCAATATTGGTAACCTCAGTGTCATGACTTTTTCTTCCTCTCTGCTTATACTGCTTCTTTTCCCTTTCTTTTTCCCACCTTTGCTATCTCTAACTCCTTCTGTCAGTCTTCCCTTCTGCCTTAATACACCATTAATAGAGTCAAGGGAACCATTCAAATAGGATCCATACAAAAAGATGCACTGAGGCTGGTCCTTACACTATTACATTGATAACGTAGAAAAGAAATGACAGAAGAAGCTGGAATTAGCTTTCATAAATGGAGGCAGTTATCACAGTACAACAGCAATCTTCAAGAAATTTTCCACTACACGTTAGAGATGCACTTTTTTATTGGTTCGATCAAAACTCATTTTCCTTCAAGCAAAGGAGTGATAATGTCAGTGCTACTTCAAACATTTCAAATGTCAGACTTTTTTGGTGTCTTATGACTTAAGCATAAGAATTTTGAGACAGAAGTGGGTAGATGTTTTTGCCCACATTTTCATATTCAAATCAGTTTATTTTTGAATTTTTCTTTCTTTAAAGGCAAGTGAACATTAAAGAGTACACTGTCTCATAGATTGCCCCTCTGCACTGTACTTCAGGATATATCTGTTCAATTTTTTATATGCTTTAGCTAAGAAAAAACATCACTGAAAGTAGGATTCATCTCACCTAACGTTAAAGACTTGTAAGGGAAGTATCCACAGCATTGGAGCTAGGCTCCCTTTGCATCCCTGAAGAGAAACAGCCACAAGGCAAGATTCATTGCCAGTATGAGATGCTTGGCTAGAATGAGATGAACTGCACTCTGGAAGTGCTGCTTCCACTGAGTGCACTGTACTCTGTAGATACCTACATTTGTTCTAACCCCCTTCTCCTTCAATATGTAGTTTTTCCTGTCTACTTACAACCTGTCCATTTAAACATCAAGGTTTTTGAAGCAAGAACTCTCTTCCTTCATATACATGTGCAACAAACAGGACAACAGGACCATGACTACATGACCATTGCCTTTATTTGCTGCCGTAGTATGGAACATCAAAAACAACGGTAATGCTAACACCCTAAACAGATTAGTAATTATAGTCCATGGAATACCAATGGTTTAAAGAAAAACTATATTGGAAGCCTAGCTCAAAAAAACCCCCAAAAACCCAAACCCAACAGATTTTTTTCACAACCATTGGATGCAACACAACTCTTGAAAGGCCAGATACGGTGAGCAATCAAAAAGAAGGCTTTGTCCGGCTTACAAAGTCTCTCCTTGTTGTGATTATGGACTCTGATCTGTTACAGCAGCAATAAATTTTGTTCACGGCCTTTAGCTTTTACAAAGAAGGTGAAAGAGGCACAACTATCATGTTGTCTCCAGTCCTTAATTAAAAAAGGAGAAGAAAAAAAAAAACATGCAGACTTTTAACAGAGGTGGGGACAAGTGGAGTTCATCTGTAGCCAGCAAAGGCTTCTGATCACCCATTTCCTTGAGGCTGGGCTACACTGCCTTTTCACGTGATCCCCTCTTTCCCATGCTACTCTTTGCTTCAGAATTTGCAATGGAAGAGAGCCACCCCTCAGTCATGCCATACATGAAATAGTGCAGGCAAAACTTGGCTGTTTGGATGTTCTTACTAGGGTCTTTCACAAACTATATATTTCCTTTGATTTCAGTCATTACAGCTACTGGGCTGAGCAATACCATGAGGAAAAAAAGGGAGATTCACCTAAATAAAGAGCTTTGGGGCAGGAAGGCTGTCCTTGGGGAACCATGTGCAGGTGGCTTCGTAGTGAAGAGGATTACAGAACTTCAAGCCATCAGAGGCAGAAAATAAAGTAAAACATTGTAAGCCAGTCTGCTGCTCTTGTGTGTAAAGGAGTGCTGCTCTCTAACTTGAAATTTGTAAAATATTATTACAACAGATCTTCAGATCACCAGGCATTAAACCATTTGGAAACACCCAATAGTCTCTCTGTTCACTAAGTAAAAATATAATCAAATTATGTTCATCTCAATCCTGACTGCACCACTTACACTTTCTCCTGTATAAAACTACTGATGCACAGTTTAAAACCTCACTGTACACAACAGTCTCTTTACCATACACAATTCTCACCTAAACATGTTATTTCACCTGTATTCAGACTGACCTCTCTTCTCAGTCTAACAGCATTATTTTCAAAATAACATTACATTCCTTTGCAGGCTCCCTCTAATTCAATAAAACCTTCTCAAGTAAAAACAATCAAGTGGGTGATTTATGTAGTTGTACAGATACAGCTTCATAAGTTTAATCAAATTACTAGGTTACATGTAAAACGCAAATTTACATAGAAGGGTTTCCTTTCACAAATGCATAAATGCTGAAAACATCATTTCAAGAAAAACTTGCAAAGAAAAAAAAAAGCAGGGGAATAGCAAAGTAAGGTAATTACCTATCTCCCTTTGGTTTTCTTTTTTGTACTGTCTTCCCTTTGGGTCGTCTTTCACTTCCTAAACAGGGGCTCCCACCAGGGCCTGTTACCCGTATTGATTCAAGGCCTTTGGAAGATTTCTTAAAAGTAAATTCCACTGGTTCTCCTTCTTTTAGGCTTCTAAATCCTTCCATGTAAAGCTTGCTCTGTAAATAGGAAAAATACTCTTGGTTAACATTGCCTTAAACACAATATTTACATTCATAATGAACAGGATAAACTATCCTGTCTACTATCCTAGAATACATACAAGTTGAATAACAGTTCCCTCTGTGTAAGCTATAGCAGACGATACTACAAATTATAGTCCTGGGTACACTGAAAACACTATTCAACACTAAACAAGTAACAAGAACCTATTTTTCAGTATCAGCAAAACTGAAATAACATTTTTCTTTTCTGTGATTAATGCTATAGATACAAGAAGCACTCCCAACCTTGACTTTTCAGTGACTCAGATATTTTAATGTAGAGCTGAATCACACCCAGTGAGACTGGAAAACAGGATTCCAGGTCCTGGCTCTCCAGCAGAAGGGGAGGACCTGTGTCACTTAGCTTTTCTCTGTCTTTCTAAAAAGGGACACCACTGCAAAGCCCGTTTTTCACAGCACTAATAGATTAAGTTAAAAATTAAAAACCAATTGGTAATATTTATTTTAATAAAACCATGTGAAAGCATACGCATTTTGCTTCCAAAAACCCCAATTACTGGACCAGCTGAGTTCTCAGTCTACTCAGCAGCAACCATTCATAAAGCAACAAGGCACTACCAATGCCAGTCTGACTGAGGGACTCAGTTTCTTATAATTTTTCCAGTAGCCAAAAGTAAGCAAGAGCACAGCTCCACTGGTTAGGATGAAGGCTGCTTTTGCTTACCCAGTTGTGCAGCTCTAGTACACGGGGCTCTTCCACCAAATGTAGTAACATTGTGAAGCATGAGACAAATAGTTGACTTTCTAGGTGAGAGGTTGAGCACTATCTAAGGGGGAGATGGGATGGGGTAGGGCGATACACATGAAAGAAAAGAATCTATAATATTTAGGTTCCCTAAATCATAAGCTTGACTGTTTTCTGAAACAAAAATACAAGGTATGGAAAAGGATGAATGCAAATTTTCTCATTTACACAACTGGAAGACAGTAATTCGACATAAACCAACGAAACAAACCATTCAGGAAAGCAGTATTAATTGAAGCAAGCCCTCCACTTTGAAATGTCTGTATAGCAATAAGGTAATCTTTGTTACAATGAGGAAACATCAAAGTTCAGAATATGCCTAAAGAAGATACCACCACTCATCAACTGAAACAACAGATTCTGCCTGTGGCATGAATCCATACCCAGGTCCACTCACACCTCTTCAGTCTTCAGCAGCCACCAGGAGAAATCTTGTTAAAAGGAAAGAACTGAACAACATGTATTTTGTCCCAAACTAAAACACAGTCTACTGTTCCAAAACTAGACAACCATGACAACATGGGTGGGTGCTAATCACAAGGGGAACCTCAAGCAGATAAGAATAAGCCCTTATTTCTCAGTAATACCGAACACGGCATGAATGCTTTGTCTTTTTGTTTAATTACAACTTAATGAAGATATAGTTAAGTCTCAGCAAGACTCACGCATTTTTCCTTCCTGAGTTTCAGTTATAAAACAAATGCCAAAAGACTGACATGTGATATTGCATGTAACATTATGTCTTCTACTTTACTTTAAAAGAAAGAAGTATTTATTTAAAATGCAACCTAAACCAGGGATTTATTAGTACACTAAAATGTTTTGGGGGTTTTTATGTTTGGTTTTTTTTTTTTTACTTAACTTTTAGGAACAACTTTTCAAAGCACTACAAGTGGGATTTTAAAATATATTTAAAAGCCAAAGTAATGGAACAATTATGCTTTCATAAATCCCATATTATGCGAGTGTACATTTTTTTGCATGTTTGTTTTTTTTCAAGCACTTTTAACAACAGAAAATGTTGGAAAAAACCCACTCCACTGCACAGTACTCTCCTTGAACACATCCCAACAGCTTTTCAATGTTATAGATGGATTTGATGCTGTCTGACTTACTGTGTAAATGTATACTACTATGCTGTCAGACAGCTCATGGTGAGATTCTCTGAGGGTGCAATAACAATTCAAAGCCATAGTGAAAAAACAGCATTTGGAAACCAGCAAAACAAATCTAATACCTGAATCCCTCTTAACTTGTCTGAAGAGCTGGACAAAAAATGTCTCTAAAGTTAATAATTTAATGTTGAGAGACCTAAGTCAGTATTTTCCTCACATTACTTAAACAAATAAAACACACACAATTAAAAGCAGCCAGAGTTTCAAGTCAACGAACCATTTCTAGAGCCATGAATGGGGTTTATGGGCACGCCGCCAATGAACAAAGGGAAAAACTTAAAAGCAACATGCTTTTCCTCCTTTCTCTCTCTTTGAGCTGTCAGAGACTTTGCTGTTATTTTTACCAGCAGTCAATACAGTGATTTCAGACTAAAGATTTTTTCCTTTTTCTTTTTTAACTTGACAGGGCCGTTTCTATTTTTTCTTAATGGGTATCCTATTATTTCTTGGTATTTTACCCTATAACATGAAATCTCTCTCGCGCGTCTCTGCCACAACCAGTGGCTTGGTCCAAAATGCTGGCAATTTCATAAAAGCATTATCAACAACAAAAAACAGAGTGAAAAAATCCGTGATCACAAGTTCTTGGAAAGCATTTCCTACTATGAAACAAAAATCAAAATGTAACACATATAAACTGTATTAGCAAGATGGTCCCAAAGAAAAGTACTATTTCCTGCACAGTGTCAGGGAGTGCTTACAACTCTCACCCAGCCCTACAAAAGAAAGGAAGTTTGGGATTAAGCCTCATTACAGGGGCCCAATCACCTCTGATACTTATGCATTACTTTTATTAATGTGTGGGGAGGTATGGGAGAACAGGGTCCCCATACGCACTGCCTCACAACTTTTCTAGTCAGGGCTGTGAACAACTGCTGTCACAGACATTAAATTCTTTGGGGGGGAGTTATTTGGTGGCATTCTGCTTAGATCTGTTGGTTGTGTTTGGTTTTTTTTTTTCCCTATATCTCTCATTTCTGCCCCTTTTTATCTAGTGATTGATTGATTGCTCGGTACAATGACCAGATGCCACCAGTATGCCGGGTTTCCCAAAGCAAGAAATCAGTTTTCCCTCCAAAATTATCTACAATTAAATCCAGACATGAAGGAAAGCATATTCTGAAGCCCAAGTGCACTGAAGATCGTAAGAAACTCTCTCCAAAACAACCTTGTACAGTGCCATCAAGAACCAGCAACCTTTGAGTAAAGCAAGAGTACAGAACAAGGACACAGAAGTAAACCAGTTTACACTGGATCTATACTAGTGCTCTTACTTGCATTAGGTCAAAACCAGAATTCAAGTGTTGTACATTGCAAATGTTAAGGGAAGCACTGCAAAATACCATCAGTTGCATGATACAAGTCCCACTGCACAGACCTTTGCTGTTCACCAGAAGTTCATATTAGAAGGCTTGTGAAGATCATGAATTTTTGCAAGCAGAATGCTAAATCAGACAAAAAATATCCACTACACTGAACAACAGCCCCTCTGAGAGCAATGCGTATCTCTGCTGCACTGACACAGAATGTGCAGGCCAGGCACCCACAAGACAACTAGCCCTTGCTCCCACTGAGTGCCTCAAGGACTTTTATCTGCTCCTAGAGGCTTATCTTGCACAAATCTGGCATTTCTTGGTCCTCCCCATAAGCCAATTTAACTCACTAATCTGACAGGAAACAAACTCAGTTTAAAAAGAGGAGGAAGGGTAAGAGGAAGAGGAAACAGGGATAGACTTTGTTTTCCTAGTGAGCTAAATCTGTTCAGAGAAAGATTCAATGAGCTCTAGGGCATACACAGTAGAAAGGGCAAATTTTGAGATGAGAATGCATTCCTTAATATTTTATGTAAAAAATTTTTTTTTTTTTTTTTTTTTAAAAAAAGCACAACATAATACAAATTATCCTTACTTTAAAAATAAAGCTACAAACCACTTTATTTCACAAAGATTTGCACTTCAGCTCCTAGGTAGTGAAGAACCATGTACGCTACATGTATATAACGTTTAATAGATAGGATGAGCTATTGCTAGTAACTTCACAGTAGGGAAAGAACTTAAACAATAACTGCAATGCAGCTGGTACACTGCAATTTCACATCCTTAATTTCTTGGAATTTGTTTCTGTCTTGAATTTCCACCTCGACCGTAGTCATTTTCATAACCTTGTTTCCATTCATCATTCTGTCACTGTCCCCACACTGTTACCCTTCTTATCGAGAAGTGCAAAAAGGTATATTTAGCTTTTGAACAAAAGGCTTTCTCTAATTCAAGACCACCCTCCCTATACAACAGAAGGATTTGATATTTCTCAGTTTATTTATATGTCTAAAGAAACTTTTACTAATCTAAAGAATTTTAAGTAAATTCTAACTCAGGTTAATATTTTCAGTTCTTGTTCCACCACAACTTGCAAGAAGTGACTTCCTTTGATAATCTACTCCTCCTTCCTTTCACATTACCTTTTCTCTTTTGTCTATCAATATCCCTTCCAGTAGAAGGTTCTTTGCTAGAAGAATTAGGTAATTTTTCACAATTATCCTTTTCCTCTACTTGGGATTCAAGCTGAACCTTTTCTCCATTTAAGCCTCCAGTATTTCAGCTCACCTACCAGTTCTCCTAATTTAAAAAATGTTTGCCTTAAAAAAATTGTTACTGGCTTTTTATCATCCCATTTAAACAAACCAAATTAACCCAGTTTGTGTTTTGTATTCATTTTTTAAGTAATCAGTTTTTCTATAAGGCCCTTCCAAATCTGAAATAACACAGCTTCTATTCTGAATTACTCTTTTGGTAAGAAAACTACTGTCTGTCATGTACAGAAATACCACATAATTATAATATAATTTGTGCTTAAATAAGGATCTGACCTACTACACGGCCCACCTAATGTTACTATTCCTACTAGTATTCCTCTCATAATATTTTTACATTGTCTGTACATAAATCCTAAACTAGCGGTCATGCCTACAACAGGCCTTTCAAAATTCCTTCCCAAAGTGAATTTGATCAAACAGA